GCGTCAAATTTGTCTACTTTGTACTTATTTGAAGATGACGAAAACATCTTAACCATAGATTATATATAGAAACCCAAACCTTGCTCTGATACCAATTGTTGCGAAAGATCATGGGTTAACTAGCACACAATCACACACAAAGCAAATAGAGACGAAAAATCAACACAAAGATCCTAATCCTCGGGTCAGAAGCAGAGAGAATTTTCCATTATGAATGATCTATCGAATCCCTAACTACAACCCCTATATATAGATCCTCAAAAGTCTCAAACCTATAAGAGAAAGGTTTTTCAATTTGATAAGGACAATAGGTTTTCCTTTCCCAAATATATTAGGACAGTGGATTTTCCCAAACCTATAGGGATTATGGATTTCCTAAAAATATAAAGAAATAAATCAAGTCACAAAATAACAAAAATTTTGACTGAGCATATTTTTTTATTAAAAAAAAGACTTGAAATTTCTTGGTGCAGTGCTGATCCTAATGGAAATGTGGCCTCAGTGTGGTTTATTATGGTATTTATAAATATATAATAGATTGTCTTGCAATTTAATTATTGTGGTTTGTCACAAAATTTGCTCTTAAAATGGTTTCTTGATTAAACAAAAAAAGGAAGATATCTGCTTCATTCCCATGCTATTGTTTATTCCGTTGTAATAACAAGCTGCAGCTGAAATACTATATAGGGAACTAGGAACACATGACTTACATTGAAACCAAACATTAGATATTCCATAAATATAATGCAGAAGAAAATTTCAAGACATTCAAAAGGTATATTATATATCTCTTTTCTTATCAAATACTAATTCCTTCGTTTCATTTTATGTGATACACTTTGACTGAGCACAACATTTTAAAATTAAGAAAAAAAAACTTTTGAAATTTCTTGGCGCAGTGTTGATCGTAATGGAAATTAAAAGAATGTAATATGTGGCCGTAGTGTAGTATATTGTGGTATGGGTTGTCACAAGATACAATAACAACGACAAGCCTAGTGTAATGGGGAGGGTAGTGTGTATGCAGATATTACCCCTATCTTAATAAGGTAGAGAGTCAGTTTCCTATCAACCCTCGACTCAAGAAAAGATGAAACGAAATAGGAAAATATCTACTTCATTCCCATGCTATTGTTTATTCCATTGAAATAACAGGCTTCAACTGAAAAACTATAATATAGGGAACTAGGAAAACACTTAACCTTGAAAACAAACATTAGACATTCCATAAATATAATGCAGAAGTAAATTTCAAAACATTCAAAAGGTATATTATAAATTTCAATTATGATCTCCTCCACCTTTCCTTCTAACACATTCTGAAGCTGGCCTTTGTCCTCCATGACAAAGCTGTAATCCCTTAGGACAAGTAAGACAGTTATGTGCAAAACTTCCACGAACGCCTTCTAACGTCCTGTTAAGCTCTCGGGGCACAGGTCCCTCTAGATAGTTATATTCCAAATCAAGACTTCTCCATGCAAAACCCAACCTCGGCCAATATTCCGATGGAATCTGCCCCGAAAACAGGTTATGTCCGAGGTTTATCTCCGTTAAGTTCGGATAAGTTACCAAGTTTACAGGCAAATGACCACGTAGACGATTACCATGGACATCCAATGTATGAAGCTGTGTTGCTTTATCAGTGAATTCCACCACTTCTAACACAGTGAACCGGTTCACTGAAGCGTTCGCGTGACTAATGTCAGGTAACATAAACACCTCCTTGTTTATTGCTCCTGAAAACCTGTTATCACTAAGGTCTAATATCCTGAGTCGACGAAGTTTATTCACAGGTGAAATGTGACCAGAGAGTAAGTTATGACCAAGTGATAATGTTTTTATCTTCAATGGAAACTGTGGTAAATTCCCATAAATCTGGTTATTTGAAAGATCAAATGAAGACAGTTGCCATAAGCCATTAAGTTGAGGAATTTTACCTGTGAATTCATTGTTAGACAAATCCAACTGAGTTAAACTTCTAAGTGAAGTAATAGATATAGGTATTGAACCAGATAATCTATTATTTGAAACGTCAAGAACTTCAAGTTTCCTTAGAAAACCTATGCCATTAATCAGACTACCTGAGAAAAAGTTCTCGTAAAGTTGAAGACTTGTGAGTTTTCTTAAATTAGTAATAGTCTCTGGCACCGGTCCTCTGAATTTATTCTTACCAAGATTTAGAGCAACAAGTTCTGTTAAGTTTCCTATTGCTGGTGTTAAGAACCCCTCTAGTTCATCTCCTTCTAAATCGATTTCCATTATCCGGCTTGTGGAGTTATTGTCAAGAGGGATTGTACAAAGAATGCCTAAGAAACTTGCTCCCGTCGTCTCACAAGGATCTAAGGCAAAATCCCAACTTCTGAGAAATGATTCTGAGGAGATTGAAACTGGATCTATTGACATCTTGATCGCTTGTAGAGCTTGAATATCGGATGGTAGAGTTTTTGCATTGACAAAGATCGAACGGGAGTTTAGGTTTGAAAGAGTAAATATGAAACTTGTGTATAGGCAAGAGAAGAAGATGGGGTTAAGTAATTTGGCCATTTTGTTTAGAAAAATGCTTTGAGTGATTGAATAATCTGGTTAAGAGCTACTTTTTTTATATGAAGTTTTGAAGTCAGAACTGGAAAATTGTAGCAAGGTCATGGAAAATGGATTCTTGAAAGTAGGTTACAAGTGTGGAGAGTGTGCTTCATTAGTCTTGTTCCAACCCTCAATATGTATAAGTTGATCATTTTAAAGTTGTGAAAAATAAGTATCTAGAGCAAACATAAAGTGAATCAAATGAGAATTAGAACCTCTCACTAAAACTTCCTTTCTAACTTAAAAAAAGAGCAGTTCGGTGCACAAAGTATCCCGCATTCATGCAGGGTCCGGGGAAGGGCCGCACCCCAATGGGGTGTGATGTAGGTAGTCTACCCTGATGCAAGCATCAGTGGCTGATTTCACGGCTCGAACCCGTGATCTGTAGGTCACACGGAAATAACTTGACCGTTTCTAGCTACAACGGTTGAAAGGTGGTTAGTTGAATACCCCTTTGACGGAAAATTACACCGTGTGTATAGGTCAAATATTATTTTTATACCTATATTAAGTTTTTAACACCTTTATTGAAAGTCCTATCTCCGCTACTGATCATAAGGTCAATTATTTAATACATGCAAGTACACTTGCATATTTTCACAAATATTCCATAGTGTAAACAATCATGAGCAGGGGCGAAGCTACAATCCTTGAAAGGTGGTTAGTAATACCCTTTTGACGGAAGATTATACTATGTATATAGGTCAAATATTAGTTTTATACATAATATGAAGTTTTGAACACTTTTAGTAAAAGTTTTGGCTTCGCCACTGATCATGAGGTCACTAATTATTTAATACATGCATGCACAATTACATATATTTTCACAAATACTCCATAATGAAACCAATGCTAACATGTTGTAACTTGTAACATATACTAACTTGTTGACATTGGAGTTCAACCAAGATTCGGGACTGTAAAATAGTACTCATTGTGATATGGGATTTCTACTCTGGGCTTTTTATTAGGCATGTCGACGTTTCTTGATTGAGATATTGACATGTCAGGTACTGCAGCTGCCGGTTGTTCACCAAACAGACCAATGTCTTTCAACCACTTAAGTTCGTCGAGTTCAAGTTGCTCCTTCTGTAGAGAAGGATACAATTTATCAGTATTTGTCTATGTATTTGGCCAAAATATAAATTGAGTAAGTATCTCTGACCTTGTGATTGGACTCGCGTTCTGAAAAACCTAGTAAGCCATCAACAGCCAAAGATGGTAATGCAATATTTGGCAAATGCTGAGAAGTTGTTTCAATGGAAAGCTGCTGAGAACTCTGCTTGGGAGGTTGTCGCTCCATTTGGCTTTTTATGGCATCATTATAGTAGCTTGAGCTCAAACCTAACCGAATTCCAGTGGCTAGTAAGCGTTGGTGCTTAGCAGATAAGCTGCTAGAAGCTGAGTGGATTGACTCGTCGCACACATTACAAAATAGAGCTCTATCCTCAACACAGAAAATGAAGGCTGTTTTGTCCTGCATTCAAGAATAGTTTAGTGTCAAAATTCCAAGTATATGATCAGCGCTATATGCATCGCGCGTTATTTAAAATGTATTTCCCTAATGGTGGATTATTATCATCAGAAACTGTCTTATCAGACTCCTATACTCTTTCTTGAATCAGATAGTCAGTTATCTGAGAAAGTCTGCAGTAACTAAGTTTCTTTAAAAACTCAAGTTTGGCATTTCTTATTCGTTTCTCCACAATTTGACAACCTTTCATGGCTCAGAATATCCAGGCCGCGTTATCGTTATACTCTTAGGGGTCGTTTAGTTGGAAAACAAGCTATCCTAGGATCAGTTATTCCGGATTATTATCCCACCCTTCCGTAGGGACAAAAATAACACTACAATCCCAGGATAACTATTCCTGGCAACCAAACGTGGGATAAACTCATCTCAAATTTAATCCCAGGATTAATTATTCCTTCCCCTCGTACCAAACGAGCCCTTATGTCTCATAATTCTTTTCACTACTACCTTATTTACAGAAATATTCCTTTATACATTCTCTTTAGAAGTTTGAAGGCCACTCTTCTCTCTTCTCCAATGCCTTACAGATTAGAAATTATCACTTTACTTCCAAACTTACAATACAACTATGCAAGTAAGAAAATGTTCTACTTCTTTTATGAGGGACAACTTGCACGCACCTCGACGATGCCATCAGATACCTGCTAGTAGTGATGGAGCCAATATTTTTACTAAGGGGATTCAACACAAAGAAGCCAAGGGATCAACATTTACTATTTATATATAAGAAAATTAATAAAGATCTTCTATATATAGTGTAATTTTCCGATGATGAACCCCCTAGCTCCGGTTCCTGCCTGCTATCTTCTACCAACATAGGCACCGATTAACTCTACCTACACAGGCTTACGTGGGGTAGAGGTGGACCTATGTTATCAGGTGAGGGGTCACCAGAAAATTTTTTATGAATATATGTATATGTTTTTAGAAAATAATGATATATTAATAGTGACACCCTGTATACAAAACAGACTTTGGTTGAAAGCAAAAGTGCACCCTTGACCTTCAAATCCTGCGTCCGCCTCTGCACGGACGAGAAGAAAACAAATTAAGGACTAGCAGCAGAGTTTGATGGCGAAGGGTACTTTTATCTTTTCTATTACTGCCTAATATATAAGTTATAAGGTAGAGAAAAAATCTCCTTAGTTCCTTTACCTCTAATAATTCTAAACAGAAGTTTAATCAAGAAACAAGTCAAGTTAAAATTCCAACAGTCAAAACAGCAACTACCAACAGAACAATAATAACAATAAATTGCCCGCAATGGTTGGCTGAGTTCGTTGGGTGAATGGTTTCCCACATGATTCCCCTCACCAGCACCCTCCTCAGTCAGAGCTCGTCGCACCGGGCGTGTCTAGTGCGGTTTACATTTCCTATGTGGTTTGCGAGCTATTGAACCATGAGCAGGTTACCCAGTGCGCACCCGAAGGGTAGCGGCTGCGGGTTACCCTGGGAATTTTTCAGAAAAAAACAATAAACTACTTAATTCCATTTAAAAGTTTATAGAAAAAATATAAGATTTTGCTTACTTGGCAAATATCACAAACAGGAAGTTTGTTAGAGAGACACTGAAGAAGAAGCCTTTGATGTTTACTAGCAAATTTGTTGGCAGCATGAACTTTAATATCACATTTTGTGCACAAAGCTGCCTCATCAGCACAGCAAATCACAGTAGCTTGAGCTTTCTCACACACATCACACTGGATTTTCATCTTAATTTTCTCCTAGTGATCTCAACTAATTCCTCTTTAAAGCTAAATTAGGCCATACCCTTTGGACTTAAAAACAAAGGAATATGAAGAGAAATTGGTT